AAGTGTGTGCTGAGATTTGATCAAAATCATGCATTTTAAGTGGCTTAAACCTCACATTTTGACCAAAACCCATGGCTGGAAATTTTCGCGCAGGAGACTCTGAGCAGTCTTGGAAAATCTATCATATCTTGGTGTAAAAAAATCCAAATTGAGTTCTGATTGTTGAGTTTGAAACTAGTTCAGAGGACTTTCTACCGTGAATTTTCAGAATTTTTCTCAATTCTTATGAATATCTGTGATTTTCCAAAGTTGACAGAATTTCCATACCTGCTCTGTTTTTCTACTGGATGAAGCAGCAATTTGAGGCTGGAATTTGACTAACTTGTGGACAGAATCTTACAAATGTTTCTTCTGGGAAATTGTAATCCTTTGAGTCTATTTTCGAATAGTATAAAGTTATAAATTTTGGACTTAAGAAGCTTGAAATATGATTTTTCAAATAGCATCACGCAAAACTGAAAAAATTCTGTTTTCCTAAAACTGACCTTACTTTCATTTCCAACTTTAAGTTGGAGTTGTTAAACCATTTTAAGCTTGGTCTTACGATAGGAATGAGGAAATTCTTGGTTACACATGTCCCTTGGGTCTAAATGTTCTCTTTTTACTCCAAAACCGTATTGGCATCATTGCACTAGTAATTACTTGGATTTTCTTTGGTTCACCTAAGCTTTGAATGGTTGAACTATAATACTTTATCTTGGTTGTTCTTAGGGTTTGTTGGTGACCAAGGGCATAACCCGGGGGCGAACTTTTGACGTTATTTTGTTTAAACTGGTGAGTGTCAGTCAAGTGCGTGTTTCTTGATATCTTGATTTGAATGATACCATGTGTTATGCATTGAATATGGAACTTTATAAGGCGAGGATGTACTTTATCACACTCGTCCTCCCTTTCTTGAATGATCTTGTACTTGCTTGAACTTGATTGACCTGTATTTGTGGTTATGCTTGTGCTCGACTTGTAAGTGGTGAGTGGTAGCATATACTACACTCAATTCGAGTGGGAGGTGTCTCTCATCCCGTCTCAGTACTTTCATCCTGATTAAGTCGATTGGAGAGTTAACTCGTCGACCCTAGTGCTGAGCGACAGCATGTACCACACTCAATCCGAGTGGGAGGTGCCTCTCATCCCGTCTCAGTACTTTTATCCTGATTAAGTCGATTGGAGTGTTATCTCATCGACTATACTTGTTCTTGTTTGGGTATACTCGAGTATTACCACCACTATTTCTATTTGGCGTTCTTGCCCGGTAGGGGGTGAAACGGTGGATGGGGATTCATGTCAAGTGAATTCTACGGACTTGTTATTTGTGTGGTTGACGGAGTGTCAAGAAAAGAAATGACATCCAAGATCGTGAACTGGCAAGCTTGTGGATTAGCTCCTGAGAGCTCCTGTATCCTCTTAATGACTGTGTTTTAGTCCTTTGTGGCTTTACGTGAAACCATTATGTGCTACTTGAGTTGAATTATGGTACTTGTTCTACTTGCTTGCTTGATATCTTGGCCTCACTGAGCGTCCGCTCATCGCTTTAAGTTGTTATTCCTTAACAGGAATTTGAAGTGAAGAATTGGAGGCGCTAGACTAGCAAACTTTTGTCTAGAGTTAGTGTGATTCCCTAAGCGACTTTTGGACATTTGGAACTGTAGATTTCATTTGTATTTGAAATATCATGGTTGTAATAGTTAACGTTATTGCCTAAGGATTGTGGCTGTTGTTATTCAAGTACTTTCTTGATTTTAAGAAATTGTTTGGTTTGAAAATCGTGATTTGGTTCGAGTGAGTGCATGAGTCCTGGCGAGAGTTGGGCAGGCCGTCCACCATACCCTTGGGTTCGTCCTAGGGGGAGGTGGGGCTGTTACAGGTGGTACAGAGCTTTAGGTTTTAGATCACTGCAGTGCATCCTAGACTAGATGTTTAGGATGTCGGACTATGGGGCTAATGTGACATGTAATTGAAATACTAAGCCAAAGGATGATTAGTAGAAGCTTAAATAAGACTTGAACCATGATTGGAATTATAGGAATGGAAGAAATTGGTGTGATTATGAGATGATAGATTCTTTATCTTGATGGTGTGGTGCTAGCTATTGGCAATACGAGGCAAAGGTTACCAAGTATATGAACTAAAAGAATATTTTGAGGATGTAAAATGACAAAACCTAAGAGCTTGAAATTGGTGTGGTTAAGGAGTAAGAGTGGATTAACGCTATTCGTGAGCAAGTACAAGAGACCAATACTCGCCTCGCCCAAATGGCAAGATAATGAGGGATAGAATTGAGAGGATAAAGTTTAGTGGTGAAGGTTAAGACACAAAGGATCCTAAGGTTAGACCTGAGGCTGGACCGATTGAGGAGATTGGGTTACGAGTGTTGATATGAATTAGTCTAAACAATACCTGGTTGTACCTCAATAACAAGGGGTTAGACTCGAAATTTGATGCGTGTCTTGAATATACAATGTGCTAGCACTGCAGACCTGTTTAATTCCTCTTTTGAATGTTTGGACTTGCTATATGTTTACTTGAACTTGTTGTGATATAACTTAAACAAAGTATGCATTACTCTGGTGAACCTAGAGGACCATCTATTGGCTCCTAATTGTCTATCCTTACTTATATAATTAAGTGATTCATGCCTTATTGATTTTGTCTTTCTATGTAGATCTATGAACTTAGACTTGTGTGAGAATGGAAGCTGGGGATGGCTTGGGGACATCCATGTAAACCTAGGTAACCCTAGACTTAAGAAAGTGATCGGGAACCTGTGGTTTACCGCATCAAAAATCAAAGACCGAGTTAGAGGATCTAGTAGTAAGGGTTATCATGGTATTCCAGTTTAAAGGAGTGGCTTGTTTGTGGAGAAACATTGTAAAGGTTAAGTAGAATTTGGTACATTAAGTTTAATCGGTGTGACACTTTTGTGTTATTGGTTAGTGCATTAGCAAGAATTTCAAGTTGTAAATGATCTGGGGTTAAGGGTTTTAGCTTAGTTATAGAGGCTTAGTTGGGAAATGGAAAGGGTTACTAAAGGGAGCAAGAGACTATAGATTCTTCATAAACATGCTTTGTGGAGATGATTGCAAAATAAGGCGAGATAGGGTGTGGAATTTTGGAACTTGTGAACTCGTGAGTAATTTCATGAAATTAGGAGATAGGACTTTAACATATGTAGAAACAAGCATAGTTATTGTGACGTAAGTACTGAGAATAGTAGTTAGTATCTTTGGGTAATGCTCTACTCGAGTTGAGAATTCGCTAAGACTCATTTTCCGTGGGAGTTAGATAACTTTATATTGGATCCTCAAGAGCTTAAAATTATATGGTTAGAGTCTTCATTGGTGATGAGATGCTAATTTAGGTACTTGATTTGTTTAGCAAGTTGTCACTTGAGATCAAGTGAACTAGAGCTATGACGACTTTGGAAGATATGTGCAAGGAAAGAGAGGTTCTTTAAAAGAAGGTAGAGTTCCAGAGAATATTGGGAAGGACGATGGAAGTAAGAATATGTTGAGAACACTGAGCTCATGAGCAAGTACGTGGAAAAAAAAATATATGAAGGGATCTAGTGGAGCTGCAAATAAGAATGAAATGATGCACCTAACTATTCAGATGGCATTTCTAAATACTCCTAGCAACCAAGTTAAAAATGGTGAAGGAAGCTCTCGTGATAAAAAGGGGAAATGCAAAAAGATGGGTGGAGTCAAATGGCGATTAAGAAGGATGAAAAGAAAGAAGAGATTGATAGCTATTAAGTGTGAATGTTGTAACTAAGACTGGAATGTGTTATTGGATAACTGGTGTATATTTTAGAAGTGGCAAGTTTGAACACCAAGTGAGGAATTATCCAAACAAATCGATTATGCTATATTTTGTCTAGTGAGAGTCAATGTTTGTCTTTGCTTGGAGATAAGTCCTTATCAGTGTCTGATTATGTGTGTTGTGCATTGCTATTCTTGGGGTTGAACGAGGACTCTCACTTGTACTTCATAAGTAAGGACCGATGGATGGTAAACCTGGGATATGATTGGGATATTTGTACCTAATAGTGAGTGTGAGATAGGTTAGGACCACTCTCAAGAGACATTCTGTGAGGACCTATAATTTTATTATTTCAAAATATTGTTAAATTGGTCATTTTAAAAATATTTCGTACTCGAGTTACCCAAAAAAACAAAATACTAAAGTACATGAATTTCTCGAAAATAAATTTTACCGATTGGTTCTTTACGCGCATATTATTTTAATGCCCAAATTTATTCAAGATGAATTGCTTATCGTGATTTTTTTATTGTTATATATATATATACTTGGATTATCATATTTTAGAGTTTTAGAATCGAATAAGATGAATTTCCAAGTTCAAACGAGAAAACCCTTAAGTTTGACCTTTATACGCGCGCGTGCCGAAAAGGCCCCGACAGGCACATTAATTTGATTAATTGGAGATTTTAAGAACATGATATTAGACTACTAGTAATGTACTATTAATGTACTAGGGAAATTACCTCAGAGGTTTAGTGCACAAAAGTTGCAACGAGCGCGAAAATTGGACACGCGAAGACCCTAAACGGACCTAGCATGAGTTGACACTTAGACTTAACCATTAAGTCACCAATTCTCTCCACTTTCATTACAAAATCTAATTTCACTCTCTCGCCTCTCTTCACTCTCTCTGTTTGGCCGAAAATAGGAAGAAGAAAAGGGAAGAAAAATCTAGCCAAAATCCTTACAAAATTACTTCAATCCACTTCCAAATTTCATCATCCATTAGAGGGCTTTGATCCTAGCTTGGAAGAGGGGGCTGTTCATCGGTTTTCTTGGAGGAATTTCGGTCAAGATTTCTACCCTAAAGCTGTCCAACTAAGTTCTTGAGGTAACTCACTCACCCACACTTTAATCTTGCAAAAGTATAGCTCAAATGGAGCAAAGGAAGCATGGGTTTTCAACCTATGGTAGAATTTGGGTTGATTGGTTGAGTAATTATGTTCTTGCAATTCCATGACATGCTCGAGGGTTTGAGGATGTTTATTGGTGGCTGATGTGATGAATTAACATGTTGTGGTTGCTGATATTGTGCTATGTTGCATGTATATAGAATGATTGATGGAATGAAGTTGGAAGAAAGTTAGAAATTTGGAAAAGGTACTGTCTGAAATTTCTGATTTCTGCCCGACTTTCTTGTTTGCTGCTGCCCTGTAATTTCGAAAATTTTCTGGTGTTAATTGAGCTTCCAAATTGGTGTAGATATGTTGTGCTATGTGTATTGTGGTTGTCTACCAAAAATCAACCCAAATGGTTGGTTAAATTTTGAGTTACAAGTAAAGAAGCAAAACTGGAACAAGCTCCAGAATTTTCTGACCAGCAACATTTGTGTAGCTATAACGTTTTGCTCGTTGATCGAAATTGAGTGCCGTTTGTGGCATTTGAAAGTAGACTCTTAGATCTTTAAAACTGTACCAAGCTCATTTTCTAGTTCGTCCCGAACGATTCGTGGCGAGTTTTGAAATTTGGCTGTCTGTTTATTACTGTTCATCCGAGACTGTCCAGAAAATCCATTTTGTTGCTTGATTTTGAACCGCTTATGTCTGGATTTTGGAAATGATTTATTCTACATAAATATATCCTTGTGAACCTAGTTTCTAACACCACCAACCGTTTTCAATATCACTGAGAATCGAGTAAGATACGGCCTAATTAGCGAAGTGCATTAAATCTGGAAATTTTCTGGAAAGGCCAACAGTCCAGGAATTTTAGTGAACTTCAACTTTTTATTTCTTGAGCTAGGAACATCGGAATCGAGTTCCGTTTTTTTCATTTGAAATCTAGATTGGTACTTTACATGCATATCCAATTTCAAAGGCTGGTTTTGATTCTATGATTTTTAGCGAAATTCCAAAATTATTGGAAAAACTTGGACTGTTTTGACCTATCTTCAATGAATAGTAAACTTTCTTGGAGAAATTGACTTGTTTCTGATTTGATTCTTGGAAAGTGACCTTCTACAAAGTTGTTATGCTTCAAATGAAGTTTTTGACGGTGTAAAATTTGCCATTTTTAGACTTTCCGAACTTCCGGACTGATATTTCCAAGAATGACTCGAAAAGTGAAAATTTCCAATTTGGACCTAAATGTTCTTTTAAGGGCCTAGGTTACATTTTTAGAACTCTTAGAGCATTTCAAACCTATTTTCATGGTGAACTTGAGTTCACCTATCACTTGAGACCTCATTTGAAAGTCGGTTCCTTATGAACTGAAATACTTTGGAAACTTGAATTTTGGAGTCAAAATTGACTATTTCTTTTCTTTACACGAATACTGTATGGCCTGGAATTTGAGATACAATGCATTATTCCATACTTTCAGGATCTCAAGAGGACTTCGAGGGAACTCCCGGCGAAGCGTCTTAGAGCTAATTTCTCAAACTTTGACTTTTGATACTTGGTGAGTATCAAGTGCATGTGAAGTGTTTAAATGAAATGATTCTTGTACTTGCTAGTTAATGAGGCTAGGGCATACTTTATCGCCCTTATCCTCTCTTTCATGAAATTGCTTGCTTGATAAGTGATACGTGTTACATGTGAATGCAAATGAAAGTATTTTTCGTGAGCATTGAGCGGCAGAATGTATCATGCCCTTTAGGGTAGGAGGTACCGCTCATCCTGTCTCAATGCTATGACCAAATCTTGTCGATTGGAGCTTTGTCTCATCGACCTAAAAGTGAATGGGGGGGACGCCCCAACCCATTGGCAAGCCTTGTAACTCGAGCCGGCAAGGGCTTGGTCGAGAAACTTGGTGAACCTTGGGAAGTGTTATAGCTTGATCCAAATAAGAGGTCTTGCTAGGTATACTTGTTAAGTGATACCACCTACATGCTTGTTTGGTTACGGATCCAAGAGGGTGTCATGGTGGCTGGAGGTAGTAAGTGGAGTTCTACATGGATAACTGCGAAAGTTGACGGAGGGTCAACTACTTGAGCTTGGATCGCGCGTGGATTAGCTCCTGAGAGCTCCCGTATCCTTTTATTGTGATCAAATTTCCTACTTGCTCAATGTTTCGCAATTACTTGTTACTTGAGTTATTGCTTTATATTGTGTCTTTGCTCGCATGCTTGCATGTTTTTCCCTTGGCCTCACTGAGCGTTAGCTCACCCCAATTTGTTTTCCTTAACAGGTTTGGAAGTGGAAGTTCTGAGGCTTAATTAGTGACCCCCAAAAATAATTTTTCCCCACAGGGCTCGAGGCCAAAGAAAGCGCTTGTATTGAGTTATTAGTGCCTGAAGGGATATCTCAAATATAATTTGAATTCGATTCACTTGATAAGTATTTGATGTAATTATTTGAGAACTGAGGACTTTTGTCTTATTCGGGGAATGATACCCTTACTTGAGATTTGTAATGTATCTTATCTCGTTCTAAGTTTGAAAAATGTTATTTCGTTTATTCTTGAGGTTGTACCCTATGTTATTGGATGTGAGTGATGTATTTTATTTGAGGACTGTAGTGAGTCCCGGCGAGAGCTGGGCAGGCGGTCCGCCGAGCCCTTTGGTTCGCCTTAGGAGGAGGTGGGGCAGTCACACATTCCAAAACGATTATGAAGGCATGTAAGAATTTCGAGAATGAAATTCTTTTAAGGGAAAGAGAGTGTGAGAGCCCGAAATTTATTGTGTATTTCATGCTTTTGTTTTAGAATTGAACATGTTGTGTTTACTTGTTACTTGTTACTTGTTTCGTGTGATTAAATAACTTGGATGTACCCTATATTAGTGTTGGATCAACCTTTATAGAAATTAACTGTGAGAACCCGGAAAACTACGTTATATTTATTGCATGTCTTCACATGCATTTTCTTTACTTTACTTTATTATATGAATTTTCCAGAGATTTTATAAGTGAGTATAGTTTTTAAATCATTTTCCTGGTATAAATTAGTTCATGTCCAGTTTGGAATGTATTAGGGGCGTGGGACCCGCTAGTGCAGTTCGTGCGATAAATTTTTGACGATTAGTTAAAATTTTGTAAAAGGATATTGTTTTACAAGGTGTTAGGAGATAATTAGAGGTTAGCTAGATAGATTAACCATTGGGAGGAAGAAGATAAGCTTAAATCATACAAGGCGCCAAGTGTCGCGACCCGATTAGAAGATGGACTTTGACCAAGACCTTCTTAACTTTCCTAAAATCAATTTTGACCCATTTTTCATCCATTTTTTCTTTGTCTTGGCCGGCTCTTGAGGAGAGAAAAACAAGGAAAAGTTCTTCATTTTCTAGCTTCAATTCTTGCTCAAATCTTGGGTTTTAGCCAACCAAATTTGAATCTACTCCATACAAGTGCCCACTAAGGAGGTTTAAAAGTATTGGTGGAGTTATTTTGGGGGAGGAAAGACTAAGCTATCATTTTTCTTGAGGATTCAAGGTAACCTTGGCTAGAATTTTCTCTCTACTTCAATTAATTGTCAACTAGTGGTTTAAGGTTGTGAGTTTTGTAGTATTATGGGAATTAGGCTTGGTACAAAACATGAAAGTTGTATAGAATGATGTTTTATAGATTCCTACAAAATTTCAACCCAATCGGAGCAACGTAGCCTGTGAAAAGACCGAAATACCCCTGCTGCCCTGTTTCTGTCCGAAAATGAAAATCAGCCTCTGTAAGTGGTTAGTTTGACCAGGAATATTACCGAATTGGTTGATGATGTCTTCTTAAGAATTATAGCCTTGTATCTTATCTTTCAAATGGCTTTGGAATTACCTGAATTGGAGTTGTGTGTGCTGAGATATAAGTGAATAAAGCAGGACTGCTAGTTGATTTCTGCAGTGAATTTCGAACTGGAAAATCTAGGGTTGTTTTAGTAAATTTGACCTAGATACATTGCAAACTGGACTGAGTGGCCTTCTTCAACATTGTATCCCTTTCTCTTAGCTTCGAAACGGTGTACATTGCACCTCAATCTGACTAGTGTAGCTTCAGTTGTGTTAGTTCCGCTAAGCAACAGTAAATCTGCCTTTTGTTTTCCAACCTAAACGTTATTTCCGCACATGTCCTAGCTTGATTTGGTAATCATATGACATTGAGCCTATTGAGTGGCTATTTATGTTGTGTGTAATGTTGGGATTGATTGAGGAAAATAATGAAGCCATAAATGGCTGGAAAATAGGTAAATACAAAGGGCGTGCTGCCCAAATTTTCGCTCGAGGGCTAAGTTTCTACTTGAACTTGTATATTTTCGTTTGGCACATACTATGTGTGACAACCCCACTTTCCCCTAACGCGAACCAAAGGGGTTAGCGGACTGCCTGCCCAACTCTCGCCAGGACTAACGGTTCAGTTTAGAGCGATCTAATATGTTCCGGAACATACAAACGCGCGTAAACAAGTCAAAATGTCAAAATAAAAAAAAATGAAACCGGAGTCGGCCATGAATAGTAACCGACACGTCAAAACCCAACCAAACGTCAAGCAAATATTTACATGTTGAACTTAAGCATATACAATCCAAAGTGGCATACAAAAGTTATTCAAAAGTGGATACATGTACGGTTTGCCAAATCAAAAGAGAAACGGACCCAAAAGTACACTTAGGGTTTCAATCAAGGAGCTATACAAAAGATATGTCCATCTAGCTCAATTCGGCAACCAACTATCAAATCCAGTCCAAAAGTATTTATTTTCCTGTAAGGAAAACAAAAGGGAATAGAGTGAGCTTACGCCCAGTGAGATAATACCACTCAAGCTACCAAGTTCATATAAGCATCAAGCTTTTCATTCCAATACATCAAAAGTAAGTAAAGGCATACATCAATAGTGGTGATAAAAGGATACAGGCGGCTCTCAAGAGCCCTTTTCCTCATTTGCATTCTTGATCGAATCTCATTGACCCTCCGTCAATGTTTAAGAGTAACCAACCGTAGGCTCCACTTTACTTCCATTCCTTCCACCCAACATACCCCTACCGGGCCCGAACTTCAAACAGTAGCAATTTGGTAATACTCGAGTATACCGGAATCAAGAATCTCACTACTACAAGATTCCATATAACAGTCCCCATGGCTCGTCAAGTTTCACGACCAAGCCCTCACCGGCTCGATCCAATCGACTACCAATGGGGTTGAGCTCAGTCGTATCAGTAATGGTCGTTGGATACTCGTCCAAGCGACACCAAATTCATGAACCAATTCAGTATTTCATGTCTCATTCAATCATTACAGTAAAACAGTAGACAGTCATATGAGATACCAAATGGGTGAGGGCGATCAAGGACACCCTCACTCAATTAGGTTCAACGGAGCAAATAAGCCTTCAAGGCATCAAGTTCACATATACCAAAGCCACATTGTAAACAGCAAGTGAGTGGTACACTCACCAAGCAAGCAAATGAGATTTCATCAACTTCCGCTCAATGAGCGTCTTGGACCACCGTCACGTCCTAAAACATTCAAATAGGCATAATAAGACTCGATTATAAGTCATAACCAAATCCACATACCACCAAAATAAGGTTCCACTAGAATGTATAAGCATTAGAGTAAACCGGGGAAATCCGGAAATGGAATTTAAGCTCTAATCCAAAAAAACAGTTTTTGACGTCATTTTGCGGTTTTGGCACCATTGGCACTACAATTATCGGATGGAGGTGCAAGATACTCTGTTTCGAAGCTAAGAGATAGAGATACAATGTTTCAGAAGGTCACTCAGTCCATTTTCGAGTGTAACCAGGTCAAAAATGCAATATACTACACCAGAACCGCAAAAACAGGTTCACAAACCGCATTCTGGTTCAAACATCATAAGTCAGGCTACCTAAGTCAAAATCAAGTGATTCCAAAGCCATCCGAAAGCTAAGATACAAGGTTACAATTAATCAGAAGGCACCAACAACCAAATCAGAAGCATTCCCAACCAAATTACCCAATTACAGACGCAATTATCAAATTCGGGTAGAAACAGGGCAGCAGGGGTAATTCAGTCTTTTCACAAGCTACGTAACTCCGATTGACCTGAAATTTTGTAGGCATCTCTAAAATATCATTCCCTACAACCTTCATGTTTTAACCCAAGGCCAGTTCGGCCTCTAACTATGAGCTACAGTACCAGGCAGAATGGAAGAACATGAAACCCTAACTTTCCAACTTTCTTCCAAAACAGAAATTTCCTACAATTAACCACTTTTTCCACCTTCTAGCTTCCTTAAATATCATTTCCAATCATCATACATGACTCCATAATAATAATCATATGAAAACAGAAAAATCACCAATAATTATAAAACTTCACCAATTCAACCAAAATCAAGATATAATCCATAAAATTACATCTTAAACTACCACAACTCATGAATTAAACATCATTAGATGGAGGAGAGGGGTCCTTCACTACTCACCTTAGCAATACAAGAGAGAGAGCAACTAATCACCTTAGCCTTCCAAACAACTCCACTAAACACCTCACAATCACTAAGTGAAGGGGTTTTATGGAACAAATGCAAGATCAAATGGTTGATTTGTTGAATTTGAGCAAGATAGAAGCAAGTGTTTGAAGAGCTTTTCCCTTTCTTTTTGCTTGAAGTGGCCGGCCAAGAAGAGGAAGAAAAATGGTGAATTTTTGGTAATTTTTTGATTTATTTGGTCAAATGGTAAAAGGTGAATAGTAGTCATAAAGCACAACCAATCTCTAAGTGACACTTGTCACTTCATTAAATGCATAGCTATCACTTTGTTTCCTCTCACACCAATCCACTTGGGTAACCTCTAATTATCTCTTAGCACCCGATAATTTAAACCCAGTATCCAAAACTTAACCTAGTTGGCCGAATTTTTCCGAACTTTCCGCACTAGCGGATCCCACGTCCGGTATACGCTCTGAATTTCTTAAAACCTAACCAATACTAGAAAACTCACCAAAACTATATTTACTCATAAACAAATTATCTAGAAACTTTTTGAATAAAGAAAATGCAGAAAACATGCCAGTAACCCGAATAAAACCTAGAAAATGGGAAAAATTACGGGTTCTCACACTATGACCGTTTTTCCATCTTAAAACATGATCCTTCTTCAATTGAAAACTCCAAATGTTTACGTACTCTTACCCAAATAAAAAGGAGTGGTTTAGGGTTTTCTTGGGTATTTTGTCCTCATTTTTACATGAATTCCATTAAGACATTTAGTCTATAATATCTACTTGAATATGAGATGATTTTGAACCACATAAACAATCCCGAAAACAATATTTCTTAGTCTATATAGTTGGATTCCGACATG